ATGCACAGGGCGATTACCTGGTAGAACGCAAATGAAGTGTTCTAAAACTGAAGTGAACTGTTAGCGTTCCAAAAGCCCTTTAGAATTTCATAATGCATACAAAACGAGCAATAAAAACCATATCCAACCTGCACAAAATACTGTCTAAAGATATAAACAGTCGCCTTCCACTACAAACCATCCATGTCAAATTCAACTCTTAATTAGAAGGGTATCAAGACAAGTCCCTCACTACTCATTAAGTTTAATTACCAACACAGAATTACCGATGGACTGTAAAAATTAATAAATATTTAATTATTTATTGGTAATTTTATTGATAAAAAGCCCAAAATAAAAGATGAGAATCTCTAATTTCATTTGTCAACAGTGTTTTATTCTTCTTGTTTACTTCTTCTCTCTTCCCCCCTTCAATCTCTCTCTCTTCGTCTTCTTCCTCTCTTCTCTCTCTGTCAACTTTTTCTCTCTGTCATCCCTCTCATTCTCTTCACCTCTCACTCCATCCTCAATGCCAGACAAGTCTTCATCCTCCAAGCCTCCACTCCAAGTAAGCCTCTTGCCCTTCCCTTTTTTTTTAACCGATGTTTGTTGAGAGAGTCTGGGTAGTTGAATGTTGGTTGTTTGCTTCTGTTTATTTGAATAATGTTTTCTTGATGAATAAATTATGTGTTATACTATAGGAAAGTACAGAAATATCCCCATTATAATGAGGTGCTTGAATGGTGATTATTTGCTTCTGTTTATTTGAATATTTTTTTTAATGAATAAATTATGTGTTATACTATTAAACTTAGGAAAGAATAGGAATACCCCCTTTATAATCACCTTTATAATTAGGTGATTGATCGCTAAAAAGGTGAAAACGGGTGGACTTTGGTTTGTTTTAGGTTAGACAACATGGTTTTAAAACAATATAGCTAGTTTTAAAGTGCATATCACTTAGTTTCTTGGGATGTATATAAAGCACTTAATTTGTTGGGATGTATACAGAGCATGAGAAAATTATGAGAGATTTTTTTTTAATATTAGTTATAAATAAAATCAATTGGTTTGTGGTTTTATTTATTAATATGTATTTACATGTAATCAATTTTTGATAGTCTTCTATATAAAAAAAGGTGCTACTATTTTTTTTTTAAATAGAATATATTAAAAATATTATTATCTGTTTTATGCTTTAATTTGTTTAGATCATAAAGGAAAGGTCATTAGTAAGTAATACGGAGAAGAGTACTACTAGTTATTCTAGAAATATTTTTAATAACCTTAAGTCGTTAGTTGATAACTATAACTAAGCACTTGAGGCATGAACACCCTCTTTCGATGTAGACTTGTAGAGTATGATGCCACCTCGTAAAGTGGGTGTCTATTGTAAGAAGCAAGTATATACTATGAAATACATTGCTCAGTGAAAGCTCAACTACAACATGTAAGTTTATTATTTTTTCCTTACATGATTAAAAATAAACAACAATGAATACTTTTTTAATAATTAATTTCCAAGAATGAATAGGATTTCAAGTTTATAAATATGAAGATTGCTCGCACCATAACATCAACAATGAAATCGTCGATGCAAGTGCATTTATTTTATTAGAGTTAAGTTTTTAAGAATCTCGAATGGAATGATTAATACTTGGTTTGGAAAGTTCAAAGTTAATATATACAAAAAAATATTATTAATTTAATTTGATTAATTTTTTAATTTTAATAAACTAATTATTTTATAAATTGATGTACAAGGAAAAATTTTAGTGGGAGGAAGCTGACAATGCAGTTGCGAAGAGGGTGTGAAAATCACAACTTCATTAGATAAGATTAAATTCAAAATATTATATTTTTTAAAAATGCTCAAATTTTATTTTTTCATTATCTTAACCAATAATTTATTTTTTACCTTATAGGTTGCGTGATTTCTACTATGAGGTGCAAAAAAAATCAAAGAAATATGAAAAAAAAGAAGATTTTTTAGGCTGGGAAGACATGGCCGTGTAGAGAAATTTCAGACCTTCATATGTTTCGGAGGCTATCTACGAAGTATATATCTAACACGTGATATTTGAGCATTTAGTGTACCAGTTACAATCTAGTGTAGAGAACCAGAACAAGAAAATTAATTTATGGTTTAATTGCCATGGACATCGACAGATCCATTATGTACATTTCACATACGAATGGATGGTAGGAATATATTTTATTACACACATTTTTTTAGATTATTGTTTTATATAAAAATATTTAACTAACAATAATTTTTTTTGCAGGTCATGGTTCTTATATATAATCTAAGATCGATTGAGCTTTTTTTGCTGAAACTTACATACGAAATAAGAACTGTTGGAAAAGAGTGTGGTAGCTCGTAAATAGCTGAGCTTAGAAGTTTATAGTAAGTTGGATTTCAACAATTTTTTTAAGTTATTATTTTTAAAATTTCTCAACTATTTTTTTTAGGAAACATATAACAGGAGAGATATGGGGATAATTATTCGACCTATTCCGAACTTGATCCTAATTTATGACTGGAGGTAGGATCGTCTACTGAACTCTATAAGAATCAAATTTACAGTATTTCAAACACTACAACCAAGGATATACAGATAGATCATAGTGTATCGATCGTTGGTTCCTCATAATCAGGTTAAAGCTCTCAATCTTTGACTTTCTAGGTGATTGGACGAGAACAAGATGAAGCTCAAACAACTTGACTTAATGCTAAGATGACCCAACTTAGTTCTGAGATAATCGAACTTAGGTGATTATACGAGGAATTGTTTTCCACCCTCACTAGAACATGTGGTCAACCTTGTTGTCTACTTGGTGTTGACAAAGATTCACCTTCATCTTCTCCTTCTCCTCCAGCCTCTGTACATTAGATAAACTGTATTTAATAATATTTTTTAAATTAATAATAAAATTTTGATTTTTTATTTTAGTTTTCTTCTTTTAAATTTTTTTATGTTTTGTTTATTTTATTTTAAAAAAATATTAAATACAATACTAATGGAAAACCTAACCAAATTTGAATCACAAACAAAATTACTGATAAACTGAGTTCCTAAAAAATTCCATAGAGTTATTCCATTGGTGATTATATTATCAAGAGAATAGAAATTACCAATGATATGTTTTTCGATAACAAGTTACCACCTTTAGTGATTCTACCGGTAAAAAAAATTTCCATCATAATTATTGTTTAAAAACCCAATAGAATATTTAATCAGTATTATGAATATTATGTTGTGCTCTAACTTTTAACATCAAACCAAATACACTTAAATTAAATTGAATAAATTGTAAAATATCAACCCTAAAGGAAAGTTTGATAAGAGATTTATAGTAATTCTTGAGTTTTTAAATTCAACTAATAAAATTAATATATATGATAATTTATTACCAAATCACACCGGACCAATTTGGATGTGCATTCTTAATAATAATAATAACAATAATTTATACTAGGGTGGTTCATGAATGCTACAGGTAATTGTGAGGGTAATGATCAAGGAACAGCTTTCTTTAAATCATTCAAAGATTATGAAGATCTGGACGCAATTTAATTAGTAGTGATGGTTGTATTCATCACAAAGTTGGCGCACTAGATTACTTCCTCGCCAAGTGAACGGAGGAGAAGTTGAAAAATAAGCATGTTGCTGCCATGGTCGCCCACAACTAAATTGCGGCCCGTGGGCACACAACCACGTCGTGGCCAGGTGAAGCTATTATTTTCCACCGGGGCTGCTTGACAGAAAAAGAGAAGAGAAGAGGATATAGTTTTAGATAACCCTAAGATGATATGGTGGCAGCCCTCTGCCCATTGGTACCTACCGCCTACTAATTCATAGCGGCAACAGGAGCAAGTATTGCTTTCTTGCGGCCACCTGGTGATACAATGTCGGTGGTAAACATGACAGCACGGCATCCGAGCAGCTTCATTACCAGACTCAAATTCTTTCTTGCGAACCGCACAAACTCCCATGACGTCAAAGCTACCGCCTATTCACACCGGAGATCAAGTTCGTTTAAGAATATAATAATAATTATTTTTTAAAATATTTTTATATTAAAATATTTTTTAAAATATTTTAAAAATTATTTTTAATATAAAAGATCTAAAAATACTAAACAAATTAATTTTAAAAAATAATTTTTTTAAAAAACACGAAATACAAAAACAAACAAGTTTTAAATTAATGTTCGTATTGTCAATTGAAACGTCAACAATTTCAGTCATTGCCAGCTCTCTGTGGGCTAATAGTCGGGTCGGACGAGCAGGTATGGACACCAGGAGCAACCATGTAGATTGTGGATCAGCCTATCTATCTTTTCATTTTATTCATATTATAATAATAATAGTAGTAATAGTACGTGTATTTAGTCAAAACTAGCATTAGTTTATTGACTAATTAAGAGAGATGTGATGGTTAGTAGGCTTCCAAAGTTCATGTTAATCCAGTTTGTTCAAACTAATCAATCAGATGGGGGAGGGACAGACTTGCTACCTTATTCTCTCAAGTCTCAAATAAATACCAGAGTTTTGTTTGCCAATAAAAAGAAAAAAAAAAAGAAAAAAAGAAAAAAAGCTGATGACTTCTACGAATGGCTGCGTAAAAAGTCCGGTGGCAAAGCTTTCAGCTTTCACAAACAACTGACTGGCATGGCATTAGCATGGCTCCCTGTTGGGCTTACATTTTTAAATGGGAACACTAAATGAAGATGATATTTTACCTTGCAGGCCTTGTTTAAGATGTTTAGACAAGCTCAAAGCTATGTGCAGATTAGACAGGAAATTTTGTCACCAAACTTGAAATCTCTGTAAGTTGTTGAAAATTGGATATCCAAACCAAAATCAGGGTTAACCAGGTAGCTTGCTTACTTCATCATGACGAGATTACAGGGTAGCCAGTTGTTCAGGATTATGTTTATACGAAGAAGTTTGAGACGATTGTGGTGCTGCACAGACTGGAGCTTGTTAAAACAGAAGCAGAGTTCAGAAGCGGCAGTAACGGTAGACCTGAGGACCCAAAATTTTTATGTTCATTCAAACCTTCTGCCACATGTCCATGATTTTTCCAAGATACAAGATCCCCCATTTTTAAAAAATACAAATGAGAGAGGATTGAATGAACATAAACAATGGATCTGAACACAACATAGAGTAGCCAACCAAACTGATTTTACAGTTTCTTGTTGCTGTATACAGACTTGGGAAATTTACTTTACAAAGGGAGAGGATCTAAAGTGTAGTGTCCAAGCCTCCCAGTACGATAAAGATTGAGCAACTTAGCTGAAATCTTGGTCTGAGAATCGTTGACTGGTTCCAAAGAAACCAGGAAAGCTTCTCTCAACGCTGTGAATTGCACTTCAATTAGCTCCTCCAAATCCTTCTCATTTTGTACATTTCCATCCAAACAAGAAATAGATTCAAACAGAGTCCGACGTACCCTATTCACCATGAAATCCTACAATAAGAATAATAAATGTCATTCTCAGAATAGGAAGAAACAAAATGAAACGAAGTCATAAACTAATCATATAATTGCTTGATTTACATAGATAGAAGGACAATTGCTTCTTTTTTTTTCATAGATAGAAGGACAATTGCTTCTTTTTTCTTTTCCTGGGATTACTGTTAGATTACACGTTTACAGTAAGCGAGGCTACAGCTGGTACTGATATCATGGATTCATGCCATGCAGACTACCACCTACTTATTGATCTTTTGGCAAAGTCTAAAGATACTTCAATTTTGCATTTCAAGTTCAGAATATGAATCGTTCAACATCTACAAGTTCTTTTATGACGATCATCTCAAGAAAATAATAACAAAATGAACATTTTAAAAGTTTTGAGGAACAAGGAAAAAGTTAAGACAACAAATCTTCAGACCCCCCTTCTATAGAGGCACATAACTGTTTATTCAAATAAGCTATTTACAGCACAATTGCGTACCAAATTATATTAGCCAATTCTAACAAACATCGGATAAATATTCAAATAAGCTATTTACAGCACAATTGCATACCAAATTATATTAGCCATTTCTAATAAACATCGGATAAATGAATGACCCTTGAGAATGTATTTCTAAAATGAATGTACTTGATTGATCATTTTTTTATTGTATGAGAAGTCGAATAAGAAAAATTAAAGAAACTCAAACAGCAATCCTGATAAAGTACAGGTTTGGAAAATGGTTATCTCTATTTGTATCGAATTATTTTCTCTGTTTATTTATTTATTATTTATTTTGGGTTCTTTAATCTCCTACAACTAGAGTAGCTTTCTCCATCAGTCCTCAGGACGACACCAGTCAAATTCTTCTTATAATTCTTCAAAGTCCTTCTCTCTCTTTCAATTATTTCCTAGAAGAACACTTGCAATTCAATTTACTACAACATCATCATAAGCTTCTTCTTTTTTCAAAAATAAATAAGAAAGATCAAAGGACAACTTATAACCAAATAAAATTAGAGAAGATGCCAAATACCAATACCTGAGTGTGATCGGAGGGATATTGCCTTTTTCGTTTCATGTTTAACTTTGAGTCACTTGAGCCTTCTACTTCCTGCCCTGTAAATGATTTGTCATTTCCATGTGTGGATAACCTTTCCCATTTCTTATATCCATCACTTGTGTTGAGAATAGCAAGAAAATATCGAGCAAGTTCTTTTTCCCCAACCAAGTTTTCAATTGCTCCTATTTTAAGGGAAATAAAAACCTCAGCTGAGATTGTGGAAAAATTTGAAAATTCAAAAGTATCTCACAATCCTAATTTATAAAACCATATGGATAAGCTGGTCAAGAGGCTTTCATAATAATTTTAAGTTTAATGCAACCAGTGGACAAACATATCACTCATTTGCACGGCGGCATGAAAGGGTTTGCATAGTTGTACCTGTTAAAGCTAGCTTGGTGCAGACTTCAGAGTCATGAATCTGGGGAGGTAAAATTCCTGGGGTATCCAATACATAAATATTGGGATGGCTACCAATCTGGAAAATGAGAGGCAAATTTCAATAATAATATGACAACTTGATGCAGATAAATGGAAGGAATAGTTAAGTATGGGAAAGTGGGGATTGTATGCCCTATTTGGTTACTGTCCTTTATTCTTAAACCGTATTTCTAAAAGTAGAATGAAAAAAAACAATGAAAAAATTGTTTTCATGGTGAACATATAAGAATCAGATGTCAAACAGTGCTCCAAAATAGTTTATATAAACTTAAAAAACAGAAGTGTTGTCAAAGTAGTATTTGAAAACTTAAAATGGTATGCCCTATTAATTAAAAAAAAAAAGTGTTTTGGATACAAGCTTTCAAGCAACAGTTTCCAGAAGCAGTCAGTCAAACGGGTTTTCTGATTTAAAGAATACATCCCAGATATCAATTTCAATCACAAATAGTTCTTTGATCCAAAATTCCACTCTCCATCCTTGGTTTCCTGGCTACAAAGAATGTCACACTGTAAGCTCCATCCTTGGTTTCCTGGCTACAAAGAAGGTCACACTGTAAGCAAAGTGATGCGGAACAACAAATAATGTCCCCATCATTGACGTTTTCCTTGTTATGGGAATTGACTCCATAAGAAATGCAGTTTTGTTGTTCAAAATACTTAGTCCAATCCTTGAGTTGGGAGCGATTAGCAAGGTCGGTCTTGTTCATTACTATAATACGGCGAAGAGAGGAAGGCGGGAAGTTGCTCAAAAGCTGACAGTGGGATGACAAAGGAATCTAAAAGAAAAGAAAAGTACATATACAAATTAAGTCAGACATATCATCAAACAGTTGGTGTGGTGTGGTGTGGTGCCCGTGGTGCGGAGTTAATGATATTATAGCATTACCCGGGCATCTCTGACTTCAAGAATGAAATCAACTAATGGGATTCTTTGAGCAATGGCATGAGACGCAGCTGCCATGTGAAGGGAGTACCATCCTGATTTTGCTTTCTTTAATGCTTCTCCTATTTCCTTCAATCCTATACTCCTACTTGCCATTCCCATTTCTTCTTCTTCTTCCTAATAATAAAGAAAGGGTTGAGGCATTAGGCAATGTGATTCGAAATTCATAAATAAAGAAGGATTAGTACTACTGGGCTTAGTTATTGCCCAAATGGAAAGGAGCAATAAGCTGAGACCACTTCTGATCTTGATGTCCACAGACAAACCCATCCAACCGGCACAACACGGTAGGTTGTATTTTTTTTTAAAAAAATAATAATTATATATACAAGTTTTTTTTAATGTATATTTATTTATACATAAAAAAATATAAATATAAATAAAAAAGTTTATATACAAATATAATCAAATCAATAAAAAATAATGTGTGTTATTAAAATTTATTAACAATAAACGAAGATAAAAATGAAAAATTGATAAATATGTATTAATCAAAATCTACAAATATATATATATATATATATATCCTTATCAAAATCTATAATTCTTTTTTATATTTTGGAGTGAAAAAATATTATTTTAATAATTTTGAAGTCAAAAATATTTTAAAAAATAATTATTATTATATTCTATAATTTTAAAAATTGAATTTTTATTAAAAAAAGAGGTTATCTTTTATTTATATATATATATATATATATATAGTCACATACACACACCGCTTGTCTAATAAGAAACTTTCTCACCCATCACCATCTCTCACTTCACTTGTATTATTTCTTTTCAAGCTTTCCTAGCCTTGTCTTCGAGGTCGTGTGGTCGAGCATTCGTGGTTATGTTGAGTCCGTAACAGTTGTATTGAAGTGTTTGATTATAAAATTAATGGTAATTTTTATACGTGGATCCTATTATTATCTGGGTTGAAAATGCTTTTTTGTTAAAGGTGAAAAATATATTTAGTATTGTGGTTATGGTTTGTAAAAAATTATTTTATAAAAAGTATTTTTAGTTAAGGTTAGTTTTAAAAAAATAGATATTTAATTAAAACTGTAATTGAAATTGAGGTTTAATAAAAATTAGTTTAATGTGTTTGGTTAAGAATGCTTTTGAAATTGAGGTTATAAAATAATTTTAAAAAATATATATTAATATTTATAATTTATAATTTAAATATTATAAATTTAACTATTGCTATTACATCGTGAAATAAATCATACTTTATATATATATATAAATTATTGTTCCATTAAGCTATCTACAATTTTATTATATATAAAATTCATATGATAAAAACTACAGTTTTCATGATTTTTTAAACATGCAATAAAATTAGGTAAAATATTATTAGAAATAAAATTAAGATTACAGTACAAATAAATTTAATTTATCTTAAACTAATTTTTTTAAAAAAAATTATTATTTTTTGAAAAAAAAATATTAACTAATTTTTCAAAAAAAATAAAAAAGACTGTTAAAAAAATCAGCATCCCTCCACGCTGCTCACTTTAGTGAATAGTGTGGAAGGATGCTGATTTTTCAAAAAAAAATTAAAAAACAAACACTGTTCACTTTAGTGAACAATGCACGCGCACTGTTCACTGAAGTGAACACTATGAAGGGATGCTACATGGTGCAGCAACGAGAATCACGTAGAACCTGCTTTTATTTTTTAGCATTTCAAACATGAAATTGGGTGGGACTTATGAATAATATTTTATATTTTTTTTGTTATCAAATATTGTTATATCTGAGTTTTAAGTAAAATGTAGACACGTAGAGAAACACTCTTTAAATTTCATGCTTCTTACTGCGTTCCTGCCTCTCTCATACTTCTTGCGTTCCTGCCTATCGTTGCTAGAATGAATTAAGTAGTATAAACAATATAGCATGCTACACTTTCATGCTAATTAATTCATTCCATGAACACTACGCAAGATGAACACAGCATGAACTTGTGCAGTGTTCATAGAATGAATTAATTAGCATGGGCTGCTGTCCATGCTAATTAATTCATTCTATGAACACAGCATTCCATGCTAATTAATTCATTCTATGAACACTATGTAAGATAAACAGTGTAGCATGTTGTTCTGGTCGGACCACTTCTTGCTGAACCAGGTCTAGTTCAAAACTTAAAATGTATTGAATCGAGTTTGATCCAGTAAAATAAAAAATAAAAATTATTTTATATTTTTTAATTGTATTTTATTTGAAAAACTGTAATAATGTATTTTTTTAAAATTATTTTATAACCTTAATTTTAAAAGCATTATTAATCAACACACATTAAACTATTTTTTGTTCAATCTCAATTTCAACCATAGTTTTAACTAAACACCCATTTTTTCAAACCAATCTCAATTAAAAGTACTTTTTATAAAATATTTTTTTTCAAATTACAACCACAATAGCTACCGCAATACCAAATACACTTTCATCTCCTTTTAGTGTGTGTTTGTGTTAGTGGTGGAACTTGTAGTTTGAATGTGGAACCTACTAAAAAAGCTAAGAAAAACAGAAAATATTAACTTTTGTGGTTGAGTTTTATGCATAAATGGGTTGTACCCAACCACAACTTCAACCACAAAAGTTAAATCAAACACTCCCTTGATTTCTTTGTCCCTTTTTTTTAGGATTATTCCTTTATATAATTATGTAAACAAGTTTGTCTTGGAATACAACCTGTATTCCAAGGATTAATACAGGCTAATTAACATAATTAGAATGATCTCATTTCTATGCTCAGGAAGACATGAGTTTTCCACGAGTATAGAAATAAATCAATTAATTATATGAGTCCTAACTGGATCTGAAAAGGAGTTATTAAACCGAGAATTGTAATTTGCAATTGGCTCAGTTAAACCCGTCTGACCTGTCAGATTAATTTGTAACTAAGGCACTGAGCAAAACCCAGAAATCCAACCATGCATGAAACATAATTAAATTTGTAATTGCTTGACTTGAGGGGCTAATCTGTAACTGCAAATGATTATTATTTTTATTTTTATAATAATGCTTGGATCCTAAGGGTAGTGTGGTGTTTTTTTTTTTAAAAAGTAAAAAGTTCCTAATGCTCGCGGTAAAAATATAAAAAAATTAATTATGTTGCGTTATTCTATTCGTCTCAACTTCTTCTTCTTCTTCTTTGTACGATGCATGTACTCACCGGATCTTCAATGCATTGTCAGTTTTATTTTATTCTTTTTTTTATTATTGTACGATGCATGTACTCACCGGATCTTCAATGCATTATCAGTTTTATTTTATTTATTTTTTTCTTCTAGAAATTTGTGTCTGGCCTTCTACATTTTCATATCAGCCCTTTAAGTTTTTTTCTTTTGATTTTGTCCCTAATTTTTTATATTTATTTTTTAATTCATTTCTCAAGTTTCCTTTTGTTTTTAATTGCATCCTCTTTTATTTTTTTCTATCAGATTTGCTCTTTATTTTTTTGATTTTTTTTTGTTATAGATAGTTTTTTAATTTTTTTTGTTTTTCAATTTCACCCCTTTATTTTTTTTCTTTTCATATTTGATTTTTCTTTTTTTTTCTTTGGCTAGTTTTTTAATTTAATATTTTATTTTTTAATTTTATTATTTAGCATTAAATTGATTGACAATTAAAATTTTTAATTGAATTCGGGTTTTTAATTTCACGGATTATGAATTTAGAATATTAATCCATATTTAAAATATTCACCGGATCAATTAGTATGAGTTCAAATAGTTATTTTATTTTATTTTATTTTATCAAAATGATTTTCATTCTCACCCTTCTTCAATTATTATAGATTATCCATTTTATAATTGATCAAAGTTAATATTGCCTTTTTTATTCTTTTTTACAAAGTTAAGTTGATATGCAAACACTTAACTTGGGTCTAATGTTATCTTTTTGTTAAAAAAATCACTATTAAAGCTTGATTTCAGGGGTTTAATTCCATTTTAGGGGCAATTTAATTTTTTATTTAATGTCAATAATAACTGAAAAAATTATTTTTTTCTGATTTCATTCATCAATATTTAATTAGTTGGGAAATAGATTCTACGAATGATTTTTTTATATTTTATTAAGGGCTATCACAATCTCAAACAAACATTTATTTTATAATTGATGCTTGATTTTACGAGCATTTAATTTTTATAAAATGATTAAATAAAAATTATTAGACCTAGTTAAATCCATAAGCAAACTTGTATGTGGCTAGGGTTATTTAATATACCATTGTTTTTATTTTTTAATTTTTTTTTTTTTTTACAAATTAATCCATATTTTTACGCAACATTCAATTTTTCTTGAATTCATTATATCAACTAATTTATATTGGGTTAGCTATATTAAATATTGTAAAAATATCTCTACACTTTTTGTTTTTTAACAGTTTAAAAAAAATTAATACACTAGAGTACATGCTAATGGACTAGTCTAGTACTAACAGATGTCGGAGAATTTGCTGAGAACGTAAACAAGTTATCAAATATTTTAGAAACCCAATTCGGTCTCTGGGTCGATTGACCATGAGCAATGTCAGATATCTTGGAGAGCATAGTATTTGTTTTCTTTTCTTTTTGTAGATTCTGCTAGTGAGGGCGTGGCCGTGCTAGTAGCTAGGGCGTACCAGGCCTTGTTTCTTCATCCTCCAAGCAACGAACAATCGACCACCAAACTGTCAAGAATATTATAGCCACGAATACAAATATTACAGCGTCAGGCAGCCCTGATGTCATACTTTGTTCTTCGGCCTTCATGCTAGTTTAAGATCTTCTGGGAAAACAGAAAAACGAAAACAAAAATAGATCAGTTCGTTAGCTGAATTGGTTATATAATTACCAAGAGGAAGCGTCAATGATCAATGAAGGAACAATTTCTTCTTCTTCTTTTTGGAGAATAAATTAGAATGACTATTTGAAGTATAACAATAGTAATTAAATGGATTCTGTACATGCAATTTTTGCTGAATATTGACTGCAGAGAAGAGCTGACCAAACAAAAAGTTGAGAAAACCTGTAATTTACTCAACAATGCACCAAATAATCGACTTGAATTTATGAAGCTAGTCAGCGAAAAGTTCTAAAATTATATATATATATACTTGGCAAAAATCTATATAGGAAATTATAAGTTAATAAAAATATAGACATAGTCTAGTAGTATAGGAAATATTGTTTATATTGTCTAAAACAGAAAGGGAAATCAATGTTAATTTACTATGCATTAAGGCACATTTCACTATTCATGCACACGCATTAATTTCACTATTTATTTATTGTTCAT